CACAAATGTTAAACATAATGTCTAAAGTGAATCCCTCTTCACTCCTCAACCCTACCACCTCCCACTTCTCATGTTGAGATCGTCTGAATCTTCATTTTTTTAATAATTAATTCTAATTTAAGCTTTAATCCCATTTGACTCTTGTTTTGTTTTTTTTTTTTTTCTTTTTTGGCATCACGGCTATTCATAGCTCACAATTTCTTCTCTGATTCATCTTTAAAAATTTTTTTGCAGTAGAACTTCTAAACATTCCTTAGCTTACAGTCTCTACAAGTCCCTGCTCATGCATTTTGCTGTCCCCCTTTACTAACAGTTTGTATGGTACACACTCTAATTGCATTTCCTTTTTCTCAGAATTTAAAAATATTGCCCTGTGTCGTCTTGCAGGGCCCACGAGCAACCTAAACTCTATCTGACTCTCATTCTGTTTTATGAATTCTACCTCTTTTGACTCACAAATCTTAGAGAATACTCCCTTCTTTCCCTGATCTTCCATAATTTTGCCACGGTGTGAAGTGTAGTTTTCAATGGGCCCTTCCAATCTGTGTGAATTTGTTTCAATTTTGTATATTTTCTTGTCCTATATCTTGGAGTACTTCCTCCCCTCAGCTCTCTTTGTCCCTGAAATGCTCACCAATGAATGTTGGAGCTTCTTCAACTACAGTATTTTAAATGTGCTTTCTTTCTCTTTATCCTTCTATTCTACGTGTTGTAGAATTTCACGGCTCAGTCTTCCAGCTGACTCATTGGCTGTGTTCATTCTGCTATTCAGTCAGCTTACTGACCTCTTGTAATAAGTTTATTTCCAGGAGCTTTAAATAAAATCTTAACTTCCTATTTTTATTTTATATTTCTTAATGTATTTTATTTGATCTATTAACTCTATCAAAGTTGATTTCTGAATTCTTTCATGCGGTTATTTCCTTCACACATTTGGTAATCTATGTCATATGCTTATCTCTGTATTTGAGATTCCTCATTAGACTGTGGATGCTCTTTTGTGGTTACCACCTCCTGCTTTAGCAACTTAGGAGTGAGAGACTCTGTATGTGCTTCCTGGCAAGGCTGCTAGCAGCTTATACCCCATGAGTGGGAACTTGGCCATCTTGGTGACAGTGGCAGTTACCTGGGAACATGACTCTGCCCCTGTGTCTCAAGTGGAGCCACTTACAGCTGGGGGCAAAGACCTCTGCCACTCAATGCCTGGCACAGGGCTGGGCCAGGAAGATGCACACCTGCCCAAATCCTCCTACTGAATTACTCAAACTTGCCACCATGATGGTGGCCCACCTGGTACTTCCCCTGGCCTCTGAATTCTCCACCTCGAGGCTCAAAGAACATCGAAACCCAAAACTTCCTCTCAAGTAAGTCCTTGACCATCAAAGTTCATGCCTGCAAAATAAAAAATTGGAAGTAAATGACATCTTGTATTCTTTATTTCTATTTGAAAGGATATATTGGGCAGTGGTTACAAATCCACGTTATAACATCCAGCCAGACTGCCTGGTTCAAAATCCTAGTTCAACCATTTGCAACCTGGGTGACTTTGTAAGTTACTCTCTCTGTGCCTCAGTTTCCTCACCTGTTAGCTATGGACACTAATAATAACCTGCCTCTGAGGATGATTGAGAGGATTAAATGGGTTAACACACATAAAGGTCTTTGATCAATACCAGTGCACATAAGTACTCAAGAAATACCAAGAACTATTACTCTTCCAATTCAGAGATTTCATGACTGTAGTCTTATTCTGGATATGGAAATTCATCCGTGCCTGGACATGATATTAACAACAGCAATAACAACAAAAAAATAGTGCCAAAGGGAAGAGTCACAGCTGCCAACAGTTTGGGGACATAATTAGAATTTAAAATCACGTATTTCTCTTCTTCCTTTGATTGTCAGTTGAAATCATATTTTTACAATTACCTTACCTTTTGGAGCCTTTGACTACATTGGATTCTACTCAAAGCAACATGAATTTAGTTTCAATTCCTTTGGTGTTTATAGCATGGTGCTAGGTGTTGGATATTAAACATACAGTGCTCACATATGCAGAGATACAGCCAGGAAGGATTTTCTGTTGCATTTGCAACTTGATTGGGCAAGAAATTCTTTAATCATATGTTTCCCCTCAAACCTGTAGACTAGGTTTCCTTGTCTTCAGAAATTTAATACAACAGGAATGTCTGGGGACCCTCTGTTTATCCTTTGTAAGTGAACGATTTTCTTTTTTTGCCCAATTGCTAAGAGAATTATCTTCTCAACCTTTTATTTTTATAATTGTTTAGCAAGCCAATTTTTGCTTACTTTTCTTGGAAATTGATCTATGTAATCAGGTGACTATCCATGTTAAGAAAGTTTTCTTTGTGTCTTTGGTTATTAATTTCATGCCAATTAATATGCTTGCTTTCTCAGAAACACCATAATTCTTAGGTCTTCTACAGCTGCAGATTTCCCTTTTATTATTTCCTGTATATTCTAAGACAAATGCTGAAACACACCCTAGTCATCACTAATCAAGTTTTCCAGTGCATCAGTTCTGCTTCTTTACTGCCTCTAAAATCTATTTAAATTTTGATATTATATTTTTAGTCCCCTGGAAATCTTTTTATATTTCATTCAAATTCTTTCACACCTCATCACAGTTTATTTTCATAGATCTCTGCTCCAATTCCATAGATGCATGCCTTCCTAAAATCTGTCAATCGTACCAAAAAGTTTTCTAAAGTTCTCTTCTGGTGCTTGCCACGAATCATTTTCTGAAGTCTCACTTTTTTTTCCTATAGTATGATGTATTTATTCCTTATTTGGCATTAGTTGTTTGTTTTTCCACAGCTGTATATATATTTTTTCCCTATTTCCTTAACCTTGAACCTGGGATGATCTCTTTAGAACCTATGTGTGTCAAGAAAAGGTGTGTGGGTTTCCACCAGCTCCACTGTTGTGCATCTGGTTGCTTCTCAAATCCTTTCACTCACCTGTAGCTAAAACACTGTTCGAAGCACCTGATGGGTAACATTATTTAGGAGGGAAACAGTCAATGAAAATGTGATAATTCCTAAATTAAATGTTAAGTCTACAGAATGAATGGGTAAAAGGTATGTGCCGTATGTTGGGATAAATCTTATGTTTTAGCTAGCTAGCTAGCTATTTTGTTTTGGAGAGAGAGATGGCACAAGTTGGGGAGAGGGTCAGAGGGAGAGGAAGGGAGAATCTCAAGCAGGCTCCATGCTAAGTGTGGACATGGAGTTTGATCCCATGACCCTGGGATCATGACCTGAGCTGAAATCAAGAGCTGGACATTCAACCAACTGAGCTACACAGGCACACCTTGTATTATATTTATTGAGTAAAAAAATAAAAGAATAAGACAATGGATTGGGGAAAACAAGAATACAACACAAGTAATGTGGATGAAGAATACATTTGACATTGGTATTCAACTACGGAACAAAGAAACCCACAGAGACAACCACACAGCTTCCTCACCCATCATCCCAATCATAAGGCTTCTGCCTAAGGTTAATGATACTGGAAAAAAAAAAAAAAAAAAAAAAAAAAGCCATACATCCAATGGAAAGAAGCATCAATCAGGGATGAAGCAACACATGTTCTGGCTTGCTCCAGCTCAAGGGGAAATATACATTAGATAATGTATGAAATCATAAGGGCCCAGGTTGAAATAAAATAGAACATACAGAGCCTGTGAACTAGAGAGTGCTAGAGAGCCTGTTGGGTACTACACATTCATGGTTCTCTTCCCAGAACGTTTGTAGTCGGGGTAGATGAATCATTTGTTTTTGAATCTGCATGGCTTCATTTGTTTTACCTGTCAACATTGCTGGGTGGAGGAAATCTTGAACTAGAAATGGAGGAGCTCAGTCCTCAATTTGCAGGTTCTGGCTGGTTTTCTATCAATTATAGAGCACAGACTTGCATTTTCTCTCTGCCTCTGGCTGCCATATTAAAGGGTCAGTCTCACTGGTGCAAGAGTGAAGAGTCAAGAGCTCCTGATTTTAACATAATTCCCAGTTTCTTATAGGCTTCCATCTACTGTAGTTCACTGGACTGTCAGAAATCTCTCGCCTCCCTGTATGATCTGACTCTCTGAGACTCTGAACAGAGGAGGTAAATGAAATATATGAACCCAACAACATTGCCAGCAGGGTTCTTTCTGTCTTTATCCCACCAAAACTACTCTGCTTGTGAAGACTAAACTGCCTTGGGGGGAAAGTGCCAATACCTGTCCTCACTTCCTATGAGTTGTACTGGGGGAGTTTAATTCAGTCTTCAAATGGCTACAGAAAGGAAAAAACTGATAAGAAAGACAGGGGCTAGGGGCGCCCGAGTGGCTCAGTCAGTTAAACATAGGACTCTTGATTCTGGCTGAGGTCATGATCTCATGGTCATGAGATGGGGCCTGGCATTGGACTCTGAGCTGACAGCGCAGAGCCTCCCTGAGATTCTCTCTCTCTCTCCCTCTCTCTGCCCCTCCCTCACTTTCACTCTCTCTTTCAAAAATAAACATTAAAAAAAAAGGAAAGAAAGAAAGAGGCTAGGAGACAGCAGCAAGGACAAAGGAGAGATGGATGTCTGGAATTTAAATTGGCACAGCTCTTATGTTTCTGAACCCCAGGGGAGGCAGTAGTGAGAGGGAACAAAGCAGACTGACACATGGGTGGCATGATACAGGGAGCCCTTGACTAGGCTTTCCATCCAGCTCTTAACCTGTAGTCAGCAGAAATGTCTTCCAAATTTGATGATCCATTGGCTGTCACTCCCAGGTTTTGGAGCTGTTGTAAGCCTTCATCTTTTGTGTATGCCTTCATATGTAAGCATGGTGGAAAGGTGGGAAAGATTTCCTGGCACAAGATATATCTTTCCTACATAATTGAGATGAATTGTTAGTTCTGTAGATTGTGTATTTCTATATTTTTGGATGAAAAAAATTTTCAAGTTAGGTCTCTGTCACTAAAAAAGTCAGCTGGCACATAACATGTTGCACATATTTTAACTAATGACAAAGTGCTTTATTTACCAAGAAGAGACATTTTAATCGAAGATTAGTAAAGAATATATTTACTGATTTACAGAAAAGTTTAAGAATCTCACTCTTTCTCATTTTTGTAAATAGTTACATTTTCCCTTTGTGATTAAAATTCTGAGAAACCCCAATACAAATGAGAAGATGTGTTTATCAAGGGAAAGAATAAAAACGTAAGCAATGCCAGACAGTGTCAAACCTTCATGGGGGCCATAGTTATCCAACTCAGTATCCAGCAGTGATACCAGATCAGGCCCAGAGTCATCAAAACATCAACCCCAAAAGGAACCACAGAAGAGACTTTGTATCCGATTATCTGACATAAACTTGACCCAGGAGACATGCGTTCCGTGGAAAGGACTTGGAGGAGCCACCACACACTGTCTCACATAATCAATGAGGAATTTGTATACCACAGATAACCTTGGGCAATGAAAAGACTGCATGGAGAACATGGAACTAGTTGTTCACAGCACAAAGAAACCATTAATGTAGATGAGAAGTGGGGAGAGGGGGCCCGCATGACAGCAGGCAAAGTTAGCCTGCCTTCCCCTACAAAAACTGTTACAGCCACACTTATCCAACACAGTGGCAACTGGGAAGAGGGAGCCATAGGGCAGGGCAGGGAAACGGACCTCTAATGACTGTCCAGGTCTTTGAGTTAGGTGTTGTTAGTAGTCATTCCAGAGCATTCTGCTAAGGACAAGAATAAGAATTCACACAGACGTATCAGGGGATCAAGGTCCCGGGTCCTGGACCCTTGAACACTCAGGCATCAGGCTTTCAGTAGACTAGAGCCTGATACAAATCCAAGGGCCTTCCTGACAAAGGTTTCCACATGCATCATTCCCAGACCCAGGCCTGCTCTCAGGTTGTAATCAGGCATGAGGTCTCCAGGAAGAAACAGGTCTATTTCCAGGTGGCCAGACTACAGAGATAGGGGGACATGGAGCCCAGCAGTCAGCAGTAAGGGCAGTGCTCCCCTCCCCCACCTTGCATGCTGAGTATTTAGGGTTAACTACAGAGGAGAATTCTCTGAGGCAGGGGGTGAAGAAGACCCAGAGGACAGTGCTTCATGACAATGGCCTAGGAGACTCAATAAGGAAAGCCGGGACTAATTTTTAAATGCACTGAGGTTCTCCTGGGTCAACGTCAGATTCACAAAACAAACACCATCCTCCTGCACAGAATGAGTGCTGGTCAGGGCAGGCTTATGTCTTGAGCTCCCACTTAAATCCACACCAGGCCCCCACTTTCTGCCAGATGAGAAGCACCTCACAGGGCATCTTCCAGGCAGTAGAAGAAGATGGACAAGAAAGAGGCAGGGCATCTTGCCCAGCGACCGGCCATGGTTTTAATAGCCATAGAAATAGAGCTGAGCTTCCAAAACACATTCCACTTAAATATTTCTTCTTGCCACGCATGTTAAAGTGGTTTCTGAGTCTGTCATCTCCTAGAAGTGGTCTAATGATTTGGACTTTCAGAATTCCTTCATAACGAGGTAGGGAACTTAAAGTCAGTACCATCCCCATTATGTTGACCTGCCCGTGACAGAGGGTGAATTATATTCTTGAAAGCTTAGCATGGGGAAAGGTTAGGGAGGGAGCAAGGGCCTCTGATACTAATGCACATAGTTAAAAGTCAGCTACAGGGTGAAAGAAGGATCAGGACACACACGAGCCAGTGGCTGGAGGAAGGGAGCATGGAGCTGTGATAGGATTCCATCAGCTTTGGATATTGGCAAGAACACAAATGCACACATTTCGCCAGGGGAAGACTATTCTGCCATTTTCTTCCAGGTCCCAGGCACTAGACAGCATGCTCCTTTCAAGGAGAGCAGACCCTGCCATAGAAGAGAATGGTTTGGGTTTTGTTGTGTCTGATGAAAAAGAGAAAAGGGTGATTGGCATTAAACGTCACCCAGGATGGTATGGACCTTTCCATGCTGGCAGCACCACTGGTAGCTACTGCCTGGGTGCCATTTTCATCCACCTCCAGAAAGGTTTTATGGACAACTTTTGACAGGTACAAATTGGGACTTGGAGAGATGCCAGTAAGATCAGCCTTCCTTTCCTCGAAGATATCCGTGATGCCCATGCCCTGTAGAATAGAATTCAGATCGTAGCTGTCTTCTAGGGTGAACTGTGGGAAGGAGATGGCTACTGGTTTTTCTGACATATTTTCCGAGCTGCTCCAGGCCATTATTTTTTCATGGGTGATGTTCCTTTCAAGCTACAAGAGGGAGAAGATAATGTTCAGGGTCAGATTATAAGCCTGAAAAGGATGCCCCAAATACTTCAAGGGCTTGAGTCTATTTCAACAGCCAGTAGCAATCTTCGAGTTTCTTTCCTAAGCCTCAAAATACTCCTGTTTCATTTAAATTCCTCCAAGCAAGTCTCTTTCCTCTTTAGAAGTCACAAGACAGTTTGAGTTCTTTGTCCTCTGGTGTCGAAGGCCCTTGCTCCCTCCCTAACCTTTCCCCACACTAAGCTTTCTGTCCTCTGGTGTCTGACAGACTGGTGTCTGGGTGCCGAAGCCCAGCAAAGCTCAGTTGACCAAGTTGGGTGCCAAGCCTTGACATTGTGAAGTTCAAACCCCTCTTCTATAAAATGGAAATAATGCCGTTAGGCTCTTGCAAGGACTGAACAAGATAATGTATGTAAACGAATTAACATAGTGCTGGCACACAATAAATTTTGAATAATGGCTATTACTGCAGTCACTCTCTAGGTATTTCTCTCTCACTTTCTCTCTCCCTCTGTCTCCTTCTCTCCCACATGGAACAATATGTAGCCAGGCTTCCCCACCTCACAAGCAATCTATTCTGGTATCAGTATCTCCTCTCTGTCAAGGCACATGCACCCAAAAACAGAGTTCAGCTAAAGGGTCGTTCCATGAGCCATAGCAAAATAGTCTGAGCAAGAGACCAGAAGTCAGGTAATTCATAGAAAAGGATTCATAGGTCCGGAGATTGTAGAAGACTATGAGATTGGAGAGGAAAGTCTTAGCCAACCTTTCTGGTATTTGTTCTTTTCTAAACACCAGAGGAAGACCTATCTCCACGAATTCAGATTCTTATATATTCTTTGGTATCTCTGAGAGCCAAGGTGCCATCCTTCCTCAGGACAGTAAATGGTAACTTGGGCCGCTCTCCAAAGATCTACAATGAAATATTTCGTAGACACTTGAAAGTGAAGACTTACCTCTTCCAGGCCCTTCAAGTTATCTTCAGAGAAAGCCGGCAGCAGGACAAACATGCTGAGTGCCCCCTTGGTATACCTTATTTCAAGGATCTGTGCCTTCAGCTCCTCTATGAAGCCAATTCTAAATAGGCCCTTTTGATTCATCATCCTCACGGTCTTCTTTTCATTCTGTAGTGGACAAGATGGCAAGTCACAGGACTGCCAGAGTAGCTCACAGACTCACATGGCCCCATCACCCCTGAAAACAGGGCTCCATTACAATGAGAAGGGTCTTCACCAGAGGCTCTGAGCCACACCAGTGATCCAACCTAAACAGTCTTCTGCCCACTGATCAGTCAGCCCTTCCTTTACCAACACTTTTTTCCCCTTGGTTTTAATAGGCTTTTCAGCTGCCAAGCCCACCTGTTGGTAAACTGTCTATCCAGGCATCTACCTACAGTCCAGCCAGTGGAAACAAGCCCCACCAGCTTTCTACCTTCCCTGCCTGCACCACCCAGTCTCTTGGCCTCATCTTGCCCTTTCTGGCCTGCGTGACCCACCCAGTTGGAGCCTTGGTTAAATGATAACCATCTAAATGCTAAGTAACAACACTTGTTCCATAGGCTTCCATCAGACAGAAAGGCACCATCCCAAACACCTTGTGGACATGTAGGGTCATCAGTCTACAGATGAGGATGTACAGTGCCTGCTAACAGGTGACAGGCTGGAGTCTGATCCTTCCCTTTACTCCATTCTACAGTCTGGTAGCTTGGAACGTGGGTTTTTGAGACAAATACTCACAGATGTGAATGTAATGCATGAATTTAGCTAAGTAACCTAACCCTTACATTCTTCCCCCTTCCCCATTTCTCCTAGAATGAGAAAAATAATAACACCCACTTTCATAATGTCGTTTTTGGGAAACAAATGAAGTAGTGAGTGGAAAATGCTCATCTTGGCACCAAGATGTTCAACAACTTCAGGTACTGATTTTTGCTAATAACAAAATATTCTTATTATATTGTATGCTGCAACCCACAGACCTGAAGTTTTCAAGTTGAGAGTACATACTGAAATCATAATTTCTTAGTGGCAATTATGAGCAGAATATATAGAAAACCGTGTGTTCTAATATCATACCTCATTTAGAGAGAAAGGTGCATCCACTGTGTTTTCACAGTCAAAATATTTTTCCCATTTGGCCTTGAAGTAAACAGCATTCACCAGAACCAGCACAGTTGCACTGTTAATAGTATCCTTGCTGAAGAGTTCCTTGATTTTACCTTAAAAAAAAAAAAAAAAAAAAAAAAAAGGTTCCAGAGAATATCCAGCATATGAATTGTGTCAGAGGGATTCACATAGACAGATTATTCTTAATGCCACTTAACATCCTCAAGGATAGAGCATGTCTGATTCAAGAACGAACCCAAGAAAACTACACCATTCATCCTCCCAGAGGGGGCAGAGGTGAGGGTGGGAGTTATAGGGAAGGAACTGTCACTCAACCTAAGGAGGGACCCATTCTAAAGCACTGAGTCTGCTTCGATTCACTGAATCATTGTGGTTGGAACTTGCCATCAGCTATCCTATGCCATGATTTACTTTTCAAAGTAGACCCTGCCACCTGATTATATTATAACCTCCTGGAGAAACAGAACTATTGTGGAAACTTCCTGTCTTAAGCACTCATCACAGCAGAGTGTATATGTTTAAATATAAACAAAAATGCATGTAAATGTGCTAGACCAGGACATAAAACCTATTTGATAGGGGCTTTTGAGTGTGCTGTTTCATTCCATCCCACGTCAACCACGAGAAGTGGGTATTGTTATCCCTTCTTACAGAGGAATAAACCACAGCCAGCAAGAGGTGAGGCTACACAGCCAAAAATCAGCAAGGTCAGCTGAGATCAGTCCTGGGGCCTTCTGGCTCTAGGCTCCTTCCACAGTAGCACAGCCCTGAGGCAGACTGGAACATCCCAGGCTGTCAAGCAATCATCCATTTTCAGTGCCCATCCCATTCCACCTCCAAGTACCAAACCATCAGTTATTTGAATGCATGCTGAGTCCTTAAAGATGAGTAGAGCTTTTTACTGCAAGACTTCCACTTAAACCCCATAATAATAGATTACGTTGACATCACCTACACTTACAATATTCCAGAAGAGTTGGCTAACCAGGAAAAAGTAGATAGTCACGCCTTAATATGAACTTTTTTAGTGAACACACTTTCCTCTTGGCAACTGAGTGGAACCTTGAAGGAATGGGAATTTTTGTGGCATGCGGACCAAGTGAGGGGAAATAATTTTGGAATTTGGGTGCTTCTCCCAAGAAAAGGCTGGACAGGGGATTTTCGCATTAAAAAATTATTCTGGGGGCACCTGGGTGGCTCAGTCAGTTAAGCGTCTGGCTCTTGATTTTGGCTCAAGTCATGATCTCACGGTTGGTTGGGTTTGGGCTTAGTGCTGACAGTGCAAAGTCTGCTTGGGATTCTCTCTCTCTCTCTCTTTCAAAATAAATAAACTTTAAAAACTTATTCCAGGGGCTCCTGGGTGGCTCAGTCGGTTAAGTGTTTGTCTTCAGCTCAAGTCATGATCTCATGGTTTGTGAGTTCCAGCCCCACCTTGGGCTCTGTGGTGACAGCTCAGAGCCTGGAGCCTGCTTCTGATTGTGTGTCTCCCTCTCTCTCTGCCCTTCCCTCGCTCTCACTCTGTCTCTCTCTCTCTCTCTCAAAAATAAATAAACATTTAAAAAAAATTTTTAAACTTACTCCATTTTACATTGAATCCATAGTTTCACTATTCATCACTAGCTCTAAACCCCCTTCACCCAGAAAACACCTATGTACTTAGTGAAGCGTTGATAAAAATTGAGATTTTATCATTTCCATTTCCCTCTGAATAACTAGATTCTCTTCACAATCTTTCTACTAAACTTTTTTTTAATTTTTTTTATTTTTTTTTTTTAAATTTTTTTTTCAACATTTATTTATTTTTGGGACAGAGAGAGACAGAGCATGAATGGGGGAGGGGCAGAGAGAGAGGGAGACACAGAATCGGAAACAGGCCCCAGGCTCTGAGCCATCAGCCCAGAGCCCAACGCGGGGCTCGAACTCACGGACCGCGAGATCGTGACCTGGCTGAAGTCGGACGCTTAACCGACTGCGCCACCCAGGCGCCCCTAAACTTTTTTTTTAAATGGAAACAGTTAACATCCTGCTGGCATGTGCTTGCCTGAAAAGATTTTACCTTTTATGATGGAGCAAAGAAGCATCAGTAAGTAACATAGCATCTAAGCATTTGACTCTTTGCACCTGTTAAACAGGCTTTGAACATGGCCCATGTTTGTGAGCATCTGGCCTTGACAGACTAGCCATCTGAGAAACCAGGCTGACTTTTCTCCTTTTAAATGGAAAGGAATACCAGCCATAATGTGTTTGGTCTTTCTTACCTTGGCACTGAGATTCAACCCAAAAGTTAATCTGTTGTCTGGACTTTTCGGTGTCTTTCCGGAAATCAACACTTTCAATGGTTGTGTGGTAAAATTGAATCACGCCATCTAAGTATTCCTGTTAAATTGAAATAAAGGGAAATAGTGCAATGAAATCAGATAACTGTGCTAACAGTTAGGAGTGAGGCAGTCAGGAGAAGCCTAACGAGAGAGATGTGCCCAGTCATTTAAACAGGATGTGTGTCGTCTCTAGCTATCCCCACTCTTAATTAGCCAGTGGCATTTCACTCATTGTGGTGACAATTTAGGATACAGAGTGCTTGTTCATGAAGCAGTCCACAGTTACAAGGGCACAAGCCTTTCCTACCAGATACCCTTTACCTTGGACATCCCATTTGTGGAGATGTTGCAACATGAGTATCAAGTAACTTGAGAGACTTAGCTATATAACATTCCTCTATTTTTAAGAATTAAAACCTTACTTACTAGTTAGAGTTTCTGGGATGATAAAAGCCTTTTGGAAATCAGGTGATGTTTACACAACATTGTAAATGTAATCAAGGTTACCAGACTGTATACTTAAAAATGGTTAAGGAACACCTGAATGTCTCAGTCGGTTAAGCATCCAATTCTTGATTTTGGCTCAGGTCATGATCTCATGGTTGGTGAATTTGAACCCCACATGGGGCTCTGTGCTGACAGTGCAGAGCATGCTTGAGATTCTTTCTCTCTCTCTCTCTCTCTGCCTCTTCCTGCTCTCTCTCTCTCTCAAAATAAATATTTTTTAAGAATGGTTAAAATAGCAATTTTTATGTTATATTTTACCACAATTTTTTAAAAGTTATAAGGTAATATACCAAAACCACTGGTGTGTACATTTTTAATAGGTGGGTTATATGATATGTGAATTTATACCTCAATACAGCTAGTTTAAAAGAAAAATCAGGATATAAAATCTCATTTCCATTGTAAGAAAACATACTTATTTTGGCTAAAGTGTGCTCAGCCTGCCCCCTTAAGAGGCCAGCCTAGCCAACTGTATCACACATTTGCCTGTGGTCACACCCCTCAAGTTTATTGCTAAGTCTGTGGCTCCTTCCAGTGGTGACAGAGGAAATTGAAGCCAGGGCTCAGAGGCGTGTTGCTCTACATTACACACTGCTTAGCCAGGGAGACAAGCCAAGCACCTTTTTGGCTCCAAATGCAGTCTCCTTCTGCTACACCATTTTGCTGATAGGTGCATACAATTTTATTGAGGGCTGTCCTGATCGTGGTATGAAAGGTGATTTTAGAGAAGTGTTGGTGGGGGTTGGGGAGGGGCCGGAAGAGGACCTACCAAGTGTATCTACTAGGCATCTTCACGGGGAAAGACAGTCACAAGAAGGAAGGCCATTACCAAAAAGCTCCAAAAGCTATTAGTTGCATGACCCTCTTTCCGCCCACCAGCACTGGCCTCATAAACTGCTCAAGTTGAAAACTGGGAGGAGGGCAATGGAAGGTGTGGGAGAGAAAGAGGTGGGCCCCAGGCAGCCCACCAGTCCACGGTGCATCCTCCTGACAGAGAGGACTGTGTTCCAGATGGCAGATGAGTAATCCAGCTACTCACTGATTTTTTTAATTAGTATGCTATATGATCGTTTTAATCACCAGCCATACCGAACTCACCGGACAGATGGGGAATTCCTGCTCTCCGTAAAGCCTGTTGGCAATGCTTAGGGTGTAATCAACTCTGATCCTGTCTAACTTGGAGAGAAGCTGCCCGAAGTAGCAACTGAGCAGTCCACTCTCGTCATTGGAAGACTCAGCCTAACAAAAGAAGAAAAAAATGTGGTTTCGTCAGGGGGATGAAATGCCACTAAGGCATGTCGTCATTTCACTTTGTTACCATGTGGGGGAGCAATCTGAGAGGAAGAGAAGCCAGGAAGTGGTCCCAAGAGATGATCATGGCTCCCACTTGGTATCAAGGTCATCCAGGAACAATACATCTGGGGACTCAGCAGTGCACAGTACACTTGAGATCAGTGCACATTACTTTTCTTTATATTCAAAAAGATACAAGAAAGAGACCATCTTCTCTCCACCCTCTTCTTAAACTTTCTAAGATATGAGGATGGATAACCTGGAGAATATCTTTCCCACTCCTGCTGTGAGACAACCAGTAAAAGCTTTGCGTGTCAGGAGATTTCAGCATGAAACACAAGAGGCAAAAGTGGAGAAAGAGGGTAAGACTCCCACAACGGATCCACGCCCCTTACCACCCTTCATCTTCAACCATGCTCCATCCTGGGGACCTGTGGCCTGTACAACTAGGTGCGTAATGGGGTTCTGATCTAATCGTCTTTCTCATGAGCAGAAGATACCAGATCCTACTCTTGAGAAAACTGGCTGATAGCCAACAACATCTGAGATACATAATCAGAAAGGAACTGGAGGTCATATGGGGTTATTGCTATTGTTGCTGACGATGATGGCCACAACGTAATGTTTGGGAATAAGAAACCATTGCCAAATATAGCACAGCCAGAATGAGTGGTTCAGAAGAAGAGGGGAAGGGGTCTGTGGTGGCTCACCTGCAAAGTCAGAGACCCCCTTCTTTCCTTCTGCCCCTCCAGAGAGCCATCAGCGAGTTCTTCTGGGTTTTTCCTTTTCAGACAGGGATCAGGTTCCTTTGTTTCACTCTGGGAAAACTCATTGAAGTGTAGCACCTGTATGATGGCGATTACGGGGTCTTTCAGACAGTACGAACAGCAGGAAGTCTGAATAGCTTCAGCAACATTTTTACAGTGTCACAGGGACGATGATTACATGGTCAAACAACAATAGTTTAAAGAACAATGGATGTTTTACTTGGCTGTGGAATGGAAGGAAAGGAAACTGCATGCTATCTCCTGGGTCTGCATTTAAGAATGAAAGTAACCAGGGGCACCCAGGTGGCTCAGTCGGTTAAGTATCCAACTCTCAATTTTGGCTCAGGTCATGATCTCACAGTTCATGAGTTTGAGCCCCATGTCAGGTTCTGAGCTGAGAGCACAGAGCCCTCTTGGGAGTCTCTCTCTGCCCTCCCACCCCCTCCCCACCAATCGTGCTCTCTGTCTCTCTGTCTCTCTGTCAAAATAAACAAAAATTTCAAAAAAAAAAAAAAAAAGAGGGGTGCCTGGGTGATTCAGCTGGTTAAGTGTCCAACTCTTGATTTCAGCTCAGGTCATGATCTCAAGGTTCATGGGTTTGAGCCCTACATTGGGCTCTGCTCTGGCAGTGTGGAGCCTGCTTGGAATTCTCTCTCTCTCTCCTTCTCTCTCTGCCCCTCCCCTGATGTCTCTCTCAAAATAAATAAATAAATAAACTTTTAAAAGATTTAAAAATTTTTTTAAAAAAGAATGAATGTAACCAAACTAAACGAATTTGGAGGTATCCATGAGACCACACGTGGCTATTGAGCCAGTCAGACTGTTAATGTAAAATACACATTGGATTTTTGAAGACTTAGCATGAAAAAAAAAAAGTAAAAGATCTCATTTAAAGTTTTAATTCATTACATGTTGATAAGATATTTTGGATGCATCGGGTTAAATAAAATCAAATACATTATTAAAATTAGTTGCACCTATTTCTTTTTACTTTCTTAGTATGGCTATTAAAACTTTTTAAATTATATATGGGATTTGAATTATATTTTTGTTAGCACTGATCTAGACCTTCCAACCAATCAAGCAAGTGAGGACAGCAAAAGACAAGTTACCCAGAGCAGGGCAGAAAGGCAGGAGACAAATGCATGCCTTGCCCTTCCCAGGACACTTTTGCTGAGCAGGGTGAAACCCAAGGGCCTGGAGAAAGAACATCTGAAACTGAAAGTGGAGGGTGCCAACCACACTCTAAAGCTAAGTTTTGCTGATGGCATAATATTCCAAATCAAAGTAAACGCATAAAGCGGGATGAGCTCAGACACGTTCTACCTTAATCCAAGAATTCAGCTCCTCCGTATGGGCCTGGGTTCCCATATAACCTCTGTGTTGGATGCTAGATCCAGGGAAGTTATAAGACCCACCTCAGGAGCTTATAGTTTATCTGGGGAGTTGTTCTTGTCACTTTCATTCATTCACTCTACAAATTTATATTGGATGGCTACTGTAAGCCAAGTACTGTTCTAGGATAAAGATCTTCACCATCTGGGAGATCATATTCTAGAGGGGGAAGCATATGAAAAGTAATACACATAGTAATGATTACTGTATGCAGTATGTTAGAAGATGAGAAGTGCCAAGTAGGGGGAAAGTAGCTAAGGTAAGAGGGAATTTTACAGGGTTGGGGGCCAGTCTGCAGCATTAGACTGCTGGTCTAGTCAAGCAAGGTAGGCCTAGTTGAGAAGGTAAACTCTGATCAAAGACTTGAAGGAGAAAGCAAATTATAGATCAGTTATCTGGGGTGGGGGAGTGGGGGGAGGAGAGCCAGCAGGCAAAGGGAATGGAGCAAAAGCCCTAAGACATGAATAGGCACGGCTTACCCAAGGACTCTGAATGACAGTGTGGCTGGAGGAGTGGGAAGGGACAGGATGAGAGAGGAGTCACCTGGTTGTCTGGATTCAGGTACCAGACCTTCATGGGCCACTGTAAGGACTCCAGCTTCTATCATTAGTGAAATCAGAAGTCCGGGTTTTGAGCACATGAGAAACACGATCTGATTGAGGTTTTCAAAGGATCTTTCTGGCAGCTGGGTTGAGAACAGACCATCAGCAGAAACAAGGAAGCCCATGAGGAAGTTGTATCCATAAGGGATGGTGGTGGTCAGCCCTCAGGGAAACAGTGGGGAGTGCCTGTGTTCTGGTTGTGTATAGAGAGGAAAGCCTGTTGGAATTTGATGACAAGTGAGAGAGAAAAGAGAGGAGTCAAGGAGGATGCCATGATCTTTAGCCACCAGATATGTAACTGGGGCTTACTAAATATTTATTTATGGAAAGAAAGAAAACACGTACATACATTAAAAAATATTGCTAGCAGTGGGGCACTTGGGTGGCTCGTCCCACTCTTGATCTCTGGTTACGATCTCATCGTTTGTGAGTTCGAGCCCCACATTGGGCTCTACGCTGATGGCACAGAGCGTGCTTGGGATTCTGTCTCTCCCTCTCTCTCTATCCCTTCCCGGTTTGTGGTGTCTCTCTCTCTCTCTCTTCCTCTAAATTTAAAAATATATATATATTGCTAGCAGTATCGGTATGGATAACTATGGAGAGAAAGTGGGACAGACATGCAGACAGACAGAAACGGAGAAGATGAATAAGAACGGCTATCAGACTGTGGAGGCTGGAGAAGTGTCATACTGGAGGCAGAGGTTTAATTGAGCCTTGAAGAGAATGCAAGGCAGGGTGTAAATGAAAGCTCTGGGGCAGACCAGGCTCCCCACTCAAGCCCCAGGCTCGGGAACAGCTTGGCTTGCCAAGGAGGAACTAGGGTATGACCCTGGGAGTGGACCTAGAGATACGGGATCCTCACCTGGTCTATCTGCTGTGCGCTGTCACTTCTGGCTCCCAAGCGGACCATGCCAAGGGCAGCCGAGAGGCTCAGAGGACAGAAGAAGAAGTTTTTATGGTGATTATCTTTGCTTATCTCCTGGAAAAGATCAAAGCCAAATTTGGTGTTTGCTGCAACCAGAGAATCCATCCTGAAATTGACGATAGTCTAAAACCAAAGACAAAACAACACAGAGAAAGAGAACATGATGATTAGAGGAAAACAAACAGTTCTCATTTTAAATACACGTGATACAGTAATGTACAATGATTCAATATGTTATTAAAAGCCAGAAAACTAAGGTCACCATCATCTTGGTACATAGATATTGATGTCCATACTGCTATTGATACAGAAAGAAGTCTGTTTTCATTTAGGGGTGCGAATTAGTTTCCTAGAGCTACCATAACAAATTATCACAAACCAGGTGGCTTAAGCAACAGGAATTTATCCTGTCTTCATTCTGGAGACCAGAGGTCCAAAATCAAGGTGTTGGGAGCATCACTTCATTCTGGAGGCTGTCAGGAAAAAGGTTTCCTGCCTCTCTCCCAACTTCTAGTGGTTGCCAGCAACCCTCAGCGTTCCTTGGTTTATAGAGGTATCGCTTATTTCCGCCTCCAACTTCATACAGTGTTCTTCCCTGTGTCTTCTGTGTGAGTCTAAATGTCCCCTTTCTTGTAAGGACACCAGTCATTGGATGAGGGCCCACACTAACCCAATATGACCTCATCTTAACTTGATGACATTTGCAAAGACCCTGTTTCCCAAGAAGAGTACATTCACAGGTACCAGTGATAAGGACTTAAACCAATCTTTGGGGGACACAATTCTACCCACTTTGTGGTAAAACTTCCTTTATTCAGGTAAGACAAATTTACAGGCAACCGTGTCCTCAAAGTCAAGTTTGCAATCAAGAAAACTTCATTCCACCTCCTTCTCCACAGGCTATTCCCGGTTCTGCTTCAGTCTTCTGCCTGTGCTCTCCACTCAGCATGCTAGGATTGAGGAATGCCCAGCAAATGGTCATGGGCCATGTCCTTGGTCACCTCACATCCTTCTGACTCACTCCACATGCAGCCTGTAGGACTTGAGGTGCTCCTGTCAGTCATTGATATTGTTCAAGAGATCATTGATCTTGAAAGATTTTGGGAGTTTAGAAATTCTACGCTGAACCACAGGTGATATAGAACCAACATAAGGAAGTGACTCCTTGAGGATAGATTCCTTGCCCCCCACAATAATCTATTCTAGAAGTATCAAGAAAATCTTACATTGGAGTGTCTGGGTGGCTCAGTCGGTTAAGCATCCAACTCCTGATTTCGGATCATACCATGATCTCACAGTTCATGAGACCAAGCCCTACATTGGGCTCTACACTGACAGTGCAGAACCTGCTTGGGATTCTCTCTCTGCCTCTCTCTCTGCCCCTATCTACTCTGCTCATGCTCTCTCCCCGAAAATAAATTTTTAAAACTCATTGGGAAAAAAAAAAGAAAATCTTACATAGATCTCACTTTGGACCATCCCTCTCAGATGAAATGTCTTTTCTTTTGTCATTTTGTCTATGGATATTGTGTATTTCCTAGACGGAAATGTGAACCCTCTTGTTTGTGTTTTTTTTATCATCAGACATGTGGCACATAGTAAACATTAAGAAATCGTTACTGCATTGACCAGTGTACATTGGTTCTAGAATCATCCCAGTTTGATATGGGCCTTTTTAGTCTATAAACCTAATTCAAAAAGATAACATGAGATACCTTTTTTTTTTTTTTTTAATTTTTTTTTTTCAACGTTTATTTATTTTTGGGACAGAGCGAGACAGAGCATGAACGGGGGAGGGGCAGAGAGCGAGGGAGACACAGAATCGGAAACAGGCTCCAGGCTCTGAGCCATAAGCCCAGAGCCCGACGCGGGGCTTGAACTCACGGACCGCGAGATCGTGACCTGGCTGAAGTCGGACGCTTAACCGACTGCGCCACCCAGGCGCCCCGAGATACCTTTTTTAGAATGTGCTAGATAAGGGCGCGTGGGTGGCTTAGTTGGTTAAGTGCCCGACTTCAGCTCAGGTCATGATCTCACAGTTTGTAGGTTTAAGCCCCATGTCGGGCTCTGTGCTGACAGCTCAGAGCCTGGAACCTGCTTCAGATTCTGTGTCCCTCTCTCTCTGCCCCTCCCCGACTCATGCTCTGTCTCTGTCTCTCAAAAATAAGTAAGATCAATAAAATAAAATAGATAAAATAAAATAAAATAAAATAAAATAAAATAAAATAAAATATGCCAGACATATGTTTTACATATATTAGCTTTAACCCCACAACTCTCCAGGCTAGATATTGGCAGTCCCTTTATACCAGATGAGTAAAGAATTGAAGAATCGAATCACACACATTGGCCTAATCTACGTACTGTTTCTGCTGTAGCTTCTATTTCTGCTAAGTTGCCCTCAATATAGGGTAGGCTGACCAAACACACGCCCACTATACGTTGGTGTTTTTCCCCCTTGTTCAGCTTACAGTCCATTTTTATCCTTACTTTTTTTTCCTGCCAAATTTGCACATGACTTGTATTTCTCATTCTGTACTGATAAAACTGGGTTCAGTTATGTGTTTTCCAAGAAACCTATGTCCTGAGCATGCCTGGAAATTCAATAACGCCTCACACCTCAGAAATCTACACATCCAACATATTCACTCTACAACAGTGGCTGGCATTACCCACTTAGGAACAAATTTACTAAGAAAGTGGAGAAATCAGATAAAGTCAAGGTGGTCTGGTTTGAGGGGATTGCACAGGCTTTCATTAAATCATAAAATTTTGGATAAAAAGTAGTCTGATGTTGGGGCGCCTGGGTGGCGCAGTCAGTTAAGCGTCCGACTTCAGCCAGGTCACGATCTCGCGGTCCGTGAGTTCGAGCCCCGCGTCGGGCTCTGGGCTGATGGCTCAGAGCCTGGAGCCTGTTTCCGATTCTGAGTCTCCCTCTCTCTCTGCCCCTCCCCCATTCATGCTCTGTCTCTCTCTGTCCCAAAAAAAATAAATAAACGTTGAAAAAAAAAATTAAAAAAAAAAAAGTAGTCTGATGTTTTTTAAAGCCTCGTTCGTATAACCAAGGTGGATATTTAACTAAAACATTTGGCATCAAAGGAAAAAGCAGTGGATGTTCTGGCTGTTTGTTCATTGCTATTAAAGAAGCCTAGAGACACAACACTAAAGGAAAAGAAGAGATTTGGATTAAAAACTGCATTATCCCAATCTGGCTCTTTAAGAAATGTTCCAGCCATTTGCTCAACTTTACCCTGTTTCTTTGTGTGGATGTGCCTCTGGCATCAGAGGGGTGGGGTGTTCCTTTCTGGCACGAGATGCATGGAACTGAACAACTGGAGTCTTAACCTGCTGTGGAAAGGACGTGATTGCTCATGCAGGCCAACTCCCTTCTTCTTGAGACGAAAAAAAACCCGAGGCCCGAAGCGGTGAAGTGATTTGCACCCAGTCACGAAGTTGTCCCGGAGAAAGGCAAGGCTATGACCTCTCCACGCCCAGGCCTGCTCTCTCCTGGAATATGCGGTGTTTTGTACCCATTTCTAATTCTGCTGCTACTCTTATTCACGCTGGGAGCTGCAGTGCACCCTCAAACTCTCTCTGCCATTGGTGCATAAAGAACAAGGAGCCCATGCTAAATTTTGTCTCAGGAGTTTCCCAACCTGGCTCCAAATACTATCATGTTCTCCCCCAGCAACAAGTCCCTTTTCTGAGCCTTATCTGCTTCTACCCCGTGGACTGGTTCTGAGTTTCCATGAGAGTCTATGGAGCTTTAATTCTGCCCTGCCTTCCAAGGGAGAAGTGAGAATGGTAGTAATAGAAAACCAGCCTGAAAGTCGCAGTATATGTTAGATGACGATAGGTGAGCATTTATTATAGGAAAATCTGGCCTGGGGTTATAGAAAACTCTAAAATATAGAAACATAACTTTATTGCTGGAGGGGTTATCGGTGAGAGGATGGGCTAAATGCGTAAGGGGCATTAAGGAAGACACTTGTTGGGATGAGCACTGAGTGTTATACATAGAGATGAATCAGTGGAATCTACTTCTGAAATCATCATTGCACTATATGCTAACTCATCGGGATGTAAATAAATAAATAATAACAACTTTATTAAAATGGCATCTGGTAATTACCTTTGGAGTGCTGTTGTCGTTTTGCTTGTTTTTAAATCAGAAACTGGCCAAATTTGACAGTGACCTAATTGCTCTTTAAACATTTACCAAGTTCTCCCATTGGGGGGCAGTGATGACACATCAAAGGATGAAATGAATGAGACCCAATCTCTGCCTCTGAGAAATCCACCCTCTGATAGAGCACGTACTACGTTAGAAGCAGCTCCAGTGGGGATATAAGAGCATAGATAGGAGAATACGGTATTAATTCACAAAATGAAATGGAAAAAGCAAAAGAGTATTATGTAGGAAAAAAATTTTAAACAGCCCTCATCAAGACTTATTTGAATATTATCCTAATAATATTCAAACAGCCAATTTAAAAATATAATACTGTTAACATTTTTAAGTCCACTTAACACTGTTTTTATTCACTAGAGATAAGCTTTGGTGGGCAGTAAAAGTCATGTCATGTTGTCACAACAAAAGATAAAGTAAAATAAAAAGAACTCTAAGGTCAGTTTTCTTGTCCTTACCAAAAACCCCTTTACATCAGTACTAATCTGAAAACAGTAGGACTAAACCAGTCTCCAAATCCACTGGATTTACAAGTGGCACCAACTTACCAATAAATGGACAGTAGACATCTAATCATCATCATACTAAAATGTAACCATAACAGATATTTTCCAGAGATGCAAAATCATTTTCAGATTTAAAAAACTGTGTGCACAAATACATTCATAAAAACACTTCTGTCACAGCCCAAACTCAGAAGCACACCAAATGTCCATCATCAGTAAGATAAACAGCTTGTGGGTTACAAGTCCTACAATGGAATACGCACACCCATGGGTCTGAGTGAACTCTAGTCACCCCATAGTAACATGAATCTCACAATACAATGTTGAGTGAAAGAAGCTGTACAGGAAGGGTCCATAATAATACGGTTATATATGACTTTTCTATATATTGATGTATGTATATATATTTATACATAAATTATATATAT